ACATCCTGATCCCCCCAAAAAAATGTGAATATTATCTTTCATAGGGAAAAAAAATAGCAATAAGTTAAGGCTGTAACATGGGTACAGTGTCCTGGATTATCCAGATGAGCCCAATCTAATCATAAGAGTCTTTGTATGTGAGAATCCGAGAGGATGTGATGACAGCAACAAACTGAGCTGGCCATGAGCCAAGGAATGAGGGCAGCCTCTAGAAAGTAGAAAAGGCAGAAAGCAGAGTCCTGGAGTCTCCAGAAGGAACACAGCCCTTAAGTTTGGCCCAAGGATATCCATTTTGGACTTCTGATCTCTGGACCTGTCAGATAATAAACTTGTATGGTTTCAAACCACTAAGTTTGTGGTAACTTCTTACAGCAGCCATAGGAAGAATGTGATCTAGTGAAGAAGCTTGAGCAGCTACAGATCATGGTGGCCTAGCATTGAAAAGAGAGAAGAGGGTCGTAGATGGAGACATGGGACTCTTCAGCATACGTGCAGTAGTTCCAGTTGTGAGAGTGAATGAGATCACAAAGACGAAGGGTATGTAGAGCCAATCAGCAATTTGAGCCCTCAGAGAAGTACCACCAGAACTAAATGAGGTACAAATGGAAAATGCCTTTTCCTCACCTTTCACGGGAGAAAGGGACCTAGAAGGCATAATTAAGTAGCCTATTCAGCTGGGTTAGGCAGAAAGCATAGCCAAATTGGAATGGAAACATAGCCGCTGATAACACCAAAAACAAGTTTTAGGATTTTTGTCCGCAATCTTCTTGAGGATGGTTAAACAACAATGATGTGCACAACACTTACCATCAACACAATCAAACCATATTTCGCTAGTAGGCTGACTTTTTCTATTTTACATTTCTATTTTCTCTCTCTTTAAACTTCCTGCACTCTTTCTCATCCCTCATTTTCCTAGGATGATCTTGCATCATAAATCATCAAGAAAATCAAAGTAGATCAGAAAAGAACACTCGTTTCTCACACTCCAATACTTCTAAGTTGTCTCCCTTGCTGCCTTTGCCATCACTATTCACCCACATCTGCCTTCCGTGTCCTGTGGATGAAAAATCCCTCTTTCACTTGTGCCCATGCTTTCTTTTCCCTTGCAGATCATCTCTCTCATACATCATCAGTTTCTCGGTCTTTACATCAAGTATGCCCCTCTACCTCTCATCTTTAAAATGCCCTCCACTGACCACACAACGCTATCCAGCTGCTGCCCTGAGTTTACAATTGTCTCCTTTTCTTCACCTTACACTTGCTTCTCAAAACATTCCTGCAGTTCTTTCTCTCTCTCTCTCTCTTTTTTTTTTTTTTTTTGGAGAGGTTTTTTGCTATAGGGTACATGCACTCACCAGGAAGACACAGAGAGACAGAAAGCTAGAAATCACCCCCCAGGGGGCATGGCCGTGACGCAATCCCTTCTCCTCCATTCTCCTCTTGGGATCTTGGGCACACACACACATGCGCCTGGCATGAGTTTAAGCCACCAGGTCTGGGACTCGAGCCGTAATCAACTACGAGGGAGTCCAGTGACATAGCCATTACGCTAACTGCTGGTCCCCCAGCAGTTCTTTAAATCACACTTCTCCCTGACACTGCTCACATCAAGTCTACCATGATTTCCATACTGCTGAATCCAGTAGTCTTGTGACTTCTGTGTCACCAGTTTTCTTCCCACCTCCATTTCTCTTTCTCCTCAAATTCTAAATGCTAAAGGGTTCTAGAGCTTCATTCTTGGTCCTCTTCTTTCTTCTTTAGCTACAACCATTCCTAGATTATCTAACCTATCCGAAGACTTTAAAGTCTATTGATAATGGCCAGGACTCTGTTTCATTTATCCAAATTCCTGTTTGATCTCTCATGGACATCAAAGCCATTAACTCTTTTCTCTAGGAAGTGAAGATACATTTTTAATATCTAAGCCAGCAATTCCTTCTGTGTGACAATAGTGAAATGCACAAACATGCACACAGATCATGTGGACCTTATAAGAAGGTACAGGGGTCAGGTCTTTTTATTTTTATTGTTTAGTTTTTTTCCCAATTCTCCCTCATCCATTTTATTTTTTTCTTTATCATTATTATTATTTATATATTCAATCACTATACATCATTTAGATTGTAAAGTGATTTTACCCAGCATGATATACACCTCAGTGCAGCCCAGTTAGGAATACTATACACATCCTTATCAACAGATAATAAACCATATCTGTGTCCCACAAAAATCTTACCTATTTTTTCCCCAAATTTCCTATGCTCTTCCCCTCCCACACTCTCCTTCCACTTTGTCTCTAATGTCCACAGTAATTTTTAAAGCTTTTATCTTCTCCATACTTCAGTCTCTACCATAGAGTGTGGACAGTTGGTATATAGTAAGTGGAGACATACAATGTTTCTCTTTCATAGCCTGACTTGCTTCACTCAGCAATGAATCTTCCATATTCATCCACTTTCTATCAAATTTCAGGGCCTTATAGTTTTTTATGGCTGAATAGTATTCCATGGAATATACGTGCCACACTTTTTCAGTCCCTTTATCTATTTGTGGACATTTGGGTCGGTTTCATGTCTTAGCAATCATGAATAATGCTGCAATAAATATACCTGGGCAAGTGCTTTTCTGACTGAGCATTCTCCTGTCCTTTGGGTAGATACCCAGGAGTGGAATTGCTGGATCATATGGTAGTTCTATTTGAAAGTCTTTGAGGAACCTCCATATTGTTCTCCACAGTGGCTGGACCAATTTCCATTCTCATCAACAATGTGAAGTTTTCCCCTCTCACCACATCCCCTCCAGCACTTATCATTGTTGTTTTTCAATCTTCTCCATTCTAACTGGGGTTAGGTGGTGTCTCATTGTGGTTTTGATCTGCATCTCCCTTATGATGAGGCATGTTGAATATTTTTTCATATGCTTTTTGGCGGTTCATACGTTTTCCTTAAAGAGTTGTTTATTCAGCTCATTTTCCCATCTTTTAATCTGGTTAATCATTTTCTTCTGGGTAAGCAGCTTGAGTTCCCTGTGTATCCTGGTTATCAGTACCTACTATTCCCTAATCTGAGGCACAGTTAACAAAAATTCTCTCCCATTCTGAGGGTTGTCAATTTGCACTATTTACGGTGTCTTTTCAAAGTCATTAACTCTTTATTTCCCTCCCCCAAACATTTGCCCTCAATGTTTGTTTGTTTGTTTGTTTTTGGAGAGGTTTTTTCGCTATAGGGTGTGTGCGCTCTCCAGACAGAGAGAGACAGAGAGACAGAAAGAGAGAAATCACCCCCGGGGGGATGGTCACGCCGCAATCCCTTCTCCTTCATTCTCCTCTCGGGATCTTGGGCACGCACGCACACGCGCCCAGCGTGAGTTTTAAGCCACCAGGTCCGGAACACGAACCGCATCGACTACGTGAGAGTCCAGCAACATAACCATTACGCTAACTGCTGGTTCCCAGTCCTCAATGTTTTACAGCTCATAAATGGCACCATCATCTACCCAACCACCCAAGTCAAAAACCTGGAGGTTATTCTTAAATCCTTTCTTCCTAACAAACTCAACACCCAACACACTAGCAATTTTCCATAGACTCTACTTTCAAACTGTTTCAACTATGTCGAATTTTCTCCATCTCTCACTATCATCACCATATATCTTTCTGGAATCCATTTCTGGAATAATTGGTTGATGCAATTAACTTTGCCATATAACCAACCCTTGAACTTTGTGGTCACTAACACATACACACACATGCACTCATTTCATCCTCTGTGGCAGACCCTCCTATGTCTTCCCTTAAAATCCAAACCCAATCAAGAATTCTAAAACCATTCCAGTGCCTGGCTTTTGCCTGATTGCCCAACTAATCCATTGCCCCTCTTGCCCATTATGTTCCAGCCACAGAGATCTTTCGTTTCTGTGAACACAGAAAACTCCTTCATTACTCAGATCTTTGAACCTCCGGTCTCTTTGATTGCAACACATGTCCCCCTGATTTTAGCAAGGCTGGTTTTCTGTCACTCAGATTTCAGCTTTATCATACAATTACAGACCTTTTCCATGCAGCCAATCTAACACTACTCTTAACCACTAACATTTATCTTAATTTTTTGCAGAGCACATACCACCAATATTTGGTTTCCCCCTTCTCATTTATCACTGCGTTCCTCAGAACCCACAGCTCTGCAACATACAGTAGTCCAGAAGAAATAAATGATGGTAAAAAGTGCCACTGCCCCAGGGTTGTGCTAATCAACGGGTACGGTAACTGTCATCCCAGCTCAGTAGGATAGTTTCATTCAGAACCTCTATATTTACTAACCGATGCAGATCCCACCTCTAACCTGCCTTCATGTGTTTCCCCATCCACCACTTTGGGAAGGGGGAAGATAGTGATGAGGGATTTCGAAAACCTAGGGTGATCACGTTGGCCTTGGGCCACATTCGGTCTCAACGTGACGTTAGCCATCATCCCCAACACCAGAGGTGGGAGGTTGAAGGTAGACCTCACCGCCCGCCTGGGCTGTCCAGCCAGGGATCTGCCCTCAACTCCCCTGCCTTGCATGCTGGGAGCTGTCGAGCCTGGGGGAGGCCGGTTCGGTCGGCTCGGGACCCCAGCAGCACGCTGGGAGCCGTAGTCCAGGACTGCTGAGACTCCGCCTCTGCGCTCCCAGCAGCGAGCGGGGCAGCCTCGCTGCATGCCGGGAACTGTAGTCTTTCCGGGAGGCCGCTCCGCGAAGGTGGAGAGGCGCCGAGGCTGCCGCCATTTTTGGTCCC